CCTGGGGCGGGGGGCTGTCGCCAAAGTTAGTAGTAGAAGATTTGAGTGGGGTGTGGCCTAACGCTCTTTCGCAACCCTTTCGGCAACAATCACCCACCTCCCGCAATCGGGCCAGCTGTCTGATTTCAATGAACAAATAGTTGGTGACATTAAATCTTGGTTTTACAGTGGATGGTGGCATGAAAGTGCGGTAATGTCGCTCTGAATGGCCTACGCGGAGACACAACAGCGCTGCATCGCTTATGATGTTCGTATATCAAAATGTGACGTCAGGCCACATGAGAAGGGTTATTCATCCTATGAGGTCCATTATAATGATCAGACTCAGCTCATCACCCTGACCATCTTCGTTGCTCTGATTCCGTTACTTTGCGTAGAGGTGCGGCAAGGCGCTACTGCAACAGCGCTCCAACCCTACAGACGCGAACACAGCCGCAGACGAGAATCAATCGGCGACGCTTGTGTATTGTGAGAGTTAGGGAACTGGAGAGGTAGGCGTTGCCTAATCACGCAGACTGGTATCAATCGGCAGTGTCCGCTAAAGGTGCCCATTGGTCCCCATCAGCGGCTGCATTCACATCTAGAGGGTTGGAGCGCTGTTGCAATTGCAGCGCGTGCAGCGCGTCGAAGCCTGAACGCTGCCTTATCCAAGTTACACTTTCCCTATTACTGTTTCTTATTCTCATAATGTCTTTTAAATATGCTGTCTTTCGTCCAAACGAGTATATCAGCATCATATCAAGCGAGTAGCGTTACAGGTAATTCCAATATTGTGTGTTGTTTTTGTGTAGACATGCATAACTTACCTCCCCGATAGGGGTTGTTGGACAATGGACGAGCGTTCCTTCCTGAAAAGCCCCTCATGGCCAGAGGCAGTGGGTCACCCGCATCCTGCTTTAAAGCATAGTTATAGCGAAAACTGAAAGAAGAATCACCCACCTTGTGCAGTTTGAGAACATGGCCCATCGCGGCATAGGAAGAATTTCAGCCAATTATCCCACACCTCCCCCCTTTCTACAAAGAACGACCTCCCTCGAAAATTTCCCCCTTCGCCATTCCTAATTCTACCTACCATCTTCTCAAATTCTCCCAGCTCCCACCAGCTTCCCGATTTTTTTTTCCAAAATATCCATTTTCTTCTTTGAAAAGACGGTCGCCTATTTCTAGCTACCGCTTTCTCAAATTCTGTCAACTACTTACCAGTTTTCCGAATTTTCTCCCCTCAAACTATCCTTTCCAGTATTCTCCAGCTTCTCTCTTCTTGCAACCTCGGCATGTTAGTAGTGAGTGTTTCAATATTCTTGTGCCTTACGAGGTTGTTAGGTGGAACATTTATTAATAATGGCCTAACGTTTCGACTTAATCGTCGTCTTCAGAGGCCAGTGGTTCCACCGTTTGAGCGGATAGGTCCGCGGCCACACTAGAGCGCTGTCAATAGAAAAATTATCCTTTCCAGTTTTCCGGATTTTTCCCCTCATACTGTTCCACTTTTTTAAGAAAAAACGACCGCTCAATTCTACCTGCCGTCTTCTCAAATTTTCTCAACTTCTACCAGTTTCCCGAATTTCTGTTCCCCAAAATATCCACTTTTTTTGAACGGCTGCCTGGGGGATGGGGACAGGGTTGATTGCGCACTTGAAACGGAAGCTACGGAGAATCCCAGCGACGGAAAACCAAAAACACTTCCTTGAAGACAATTACGACCCCCCAGCAGCGGCTAAATACGACCCTCCCCCTTACCTCGCTAGGGTTCCCCAATGTACAACGCGACCTGATTATGATGGATTCGAGCATAGTTCAATGCAAAGAAGAAACGTTCCCTATTCCCATAGGTTTCAGTCAATCCAAAATGTTGCGGTATGAAGATTGACTGAAACTATTCTTTAGCCTTCTCTTTGCTTTAGTGAAGTTATCTTTTTCAATTGTGATTTTTTTGTTGTTGGTTTTTTGTAGATGTTTTAATCTTTTTCTATGGAGACACTGTGTAGAAATGAATCTAATGAATTCCTTCTTGTTTTTGTTCGTTGGGACTGAATGTCATCTTGGGCGCTACGCTACTATGGACACAAATTGTTACAATTTTTGGGGGCCATGGTTTTCGCAGAGGCTGATATGTGCCCACGTCAATCACAATGCTGGTTTCTGGTGAGAGGCAAATTGTACACTCACTTCCGTAGATCCTGGTCTTTGCCGTTTGCGAGGTGAATGGCTCCGCAGCTGCAGTAGCATGCCACTTTTCTCACTTACCAGGAAGGTCGTTCAGGGCGTGCCCCGCTTTTTCAAAACGGTTTGTTGCACTTTGTAGGACCTTGCCCATGAACCGTAAAAGTGGGCTTCGTTTTTTTGCTGTGCGGCGGGCTCCTGGAGTGGCAAAAATGGGATATGTGGGGTTATGATCGCCCCCGGATTGATAGTGCAAGGTGTGAGCTTGAGGTTAACGGTGGAAACAATCACAATAAATAATTTATTAGCAACTCATAAAGCAACATGAACGAGAAACGGAGATAAGAATTGAATTAGACGAGGTAGGTGGGAGAGGGCGCAGCGGGGTTGAGGAGAGGACCGCCGCCGACGATTACTGGAGTCGAATCTGAAAGTAAAGTAACCTCATGGAACTCCTGCCTGGTCTCTCCCGCCAGGCCCGCCAGATCATGGGTAGTCAAAAAAGGAGTTCGGGGCCTCTCTGCCCCTCCATTGGTTTCGCATTGGTCCACTTTCTTTTGACCTCCCGAGCTAAGTGCTCGTCCTCTCATTGCGGCCGCCTCTTGACCGCCGACGCCCTCCTCGGGATGCGACAGTCGCCCTCGATGTCGCAAATCTAGCGTCGGGCAGCTCAGGCAACATTGCCCCTAGCGCCTTCTTTCGTGCTCCCTCAAAGGCGCGCTTGGGCACTCCGGCCCCCACATGATTGCTGAAAAATTGTCCGCTGGCTTCAGGCGCCCCAGCTTCAATATACAGCTTTCCGTCGAATATTTTGGACCCAGAAGTGATGAATAATCTGATTACCAT